TAACACCAAGATCACATGAGACGATTTCTATGCATACTAGGACGAACACATGCAGCTAACCTCACCTTCAATTTCCTTCGAGACGGTAGCACCCTCGTCCCTGTTTCACTTCTTGAGACCTTAGTCACCGTGCGGTGGCAGCCACAGCCGAAACACGAGATCAAGTGTCGGCGTCCCCAATACCTGGGCGGCGATGTGATACTTGTAGAGGGACTCATCACACCAACCCTTCTATATCTTGGTCTTGTTGGTCCTGAACTGTGCCGCTGTGCCAGGTGGACCTAGAGCGAGTGAAGGTGNTAGTCACCGTGCGGTGGCAGCCACAGCCGAAACACGAGATCAAGTGTCGGTGTCCCCAATACCTGGGCGGCGGGACTCATCACACCAACCCTTCCATATCTTGGTCTTTTTGGTCCTGAACTGTGCTGCTGTGCCAGGTGGACCTAGAGCGAGCGAAGGTGAAAAGCCTTGGAGAAGCGAGTTGCCAGCCACGCCAAGTCTTTGGAAGATGCCCGTGCTAGGGTGGCTGCCACAGACCAGGATCTGGAGCACTTCAGGCAGCAGAAGAGAAGAACGCCGGAGGGAGGCCTGAGGCAGGAGGTGTATCGGTTGGGGGCAGCCAAGGCCGAAAGCGGAAGCGCAGGTGGGCTGCTTTGGCGTCGTCATATGTACTTCCTCTGTATCATAAGTCTGGTCTGTTATGTGCGTGTAGTAGTAAAGATACTTACACGTTGACGTTTAGCCTTTGGCTGGGTGCGTTAGAAAGGCAAGACATATGCAAAGCTGACTAAAAAAACAAAAACGAAGGCCGTTATACACTAAAATTAGGTCAAAATATGCCCATTTTGGCCTACTTTGAGATTTTTTTGAGAACGTTTTTGAGAATTTTAGTGTGGACCCCAAAATGTCTTGAATTTAGTGTGTGGGTCACTATCGATATGGTTTTAGTATGGGGGACGTATTGTGGATGGATGAGTCTAGGCGGGGTGAGCTTTAGGGTTGGGGATAGTTCTTGGTTTTTTTGGGGGGGGTTAGGCTCAATGCCCCACGTACCCCACCCCCCGGAAAAGGGCAAAATATGGCCGTTCTTGGGCCGACTCAAAGTTTTCCGGCCGTTTAGTCGCATAGTTCAAGCACCAGCTTTAAGAAAAAGAGAATGTTTTCTTGCTAAAAAAACGCCGTAGAATTCAACAATAAGAATGAAAAACAGATCGGACACCGTTAAGGCGGTGTATAAACCTAACGGACCAGACTTATGATACAGAGGAAGTAGTCGTTTTTCTGTCGTTGCTGTTGCTGCCATCTCATAGCTGGTGTTGTCATCCGTTGTGATCCTTACGGAGCCTTGAGTTTTCTGGACGTGGTGGGCCTGGGACCCATGTTTATGGTCTCAAAATGTTGGAAATTAATCTTCAAGTGTTCTCAAACATTGCGCGCGAATATCCGCCAGACGAACATTTGAGCATGGCTTTTATGCGCAAAAATAGATCATCTTGTGGCTTTCTCGGAATGAGTCAGAAGTGCGGCGGGAATCGTGATCTACTGCTACCAAACGATTTGTGACAGACAAACTACAAATAAATGCGTCATGGAAACTGAACGTAACGAGCTCGCAAAGGGCTCCCCACAACCCTTGATGCACTGAGCTGATCAGAGCTCATGCTGTGCCCGCCAGTATGTGGCGATAGCGGTCCGGGCGTGCGAGAAAGAATGTTCTCGGGGTCAAAAGAGACCAAAACGANTGCACTGAGCTCATCAGAGCTGATGCTGTGCCCGCCAGTATGTGGCGATAGCGGTCCGGGCGTGCGAGAAAGAATGTTCTCGGTGTCAAAAGAGACCAAAACGTGCGTCAGCGCTTCCTTCCCAACGGCAAAAAGTCGGCCGCTCGAGAGGAGACGTAATTACAAAACTCTCCGGCTCTCCCCCGTTAGGCCATCGATTCATGTTTTGTCTTCTTGGGTGTCTCCTCCATCAACGACTCTCATCCGGTTTCGCGTGGGTTGGCAGTGGCCGTGCTCAGTCGGCAGGGAGGCACATCGTCATGCGCACAAAGTTGTGGACGCAACGTTTTTTATGGTCTATTTATTCACTTGAATATAGAGGACTTGTTCCTCCGTCCCAAAAAGACTTGTTCGACACATCGAGTTCACAGCGACACGCCTCCCTGCCTATTGAGTACGTCACTGCTGAACCGCCCACACCCGGATGAGAGCCGTTGATGGAGAAGACACCCAACAAGACAAAACATGAATCGATGGTCTAGAGGACGAGAGCTGGATCGTTTTGTACTCACGTCCCTTCTCAAGCTGCCGACTTTTTGCCGTTCGGAGACACAAACCACGTTTACTCCGTGCCCTCCAAACCACCCCTGTCTGTTTTTTTTTTTGTGCACGCTTGGCGAGCTTCCGCCATGTATCAGCCGGCAACACGTTGACACGGTGACTCTATTGTTGTCCGGATCCCTCTATGAGCTTGCTACGTTGAGTGTGCGCTGCGCAGTGGTTGGTGTTTAGGGCGGAAGGGGCGGTCGGCTATTGATCTCGCCGCTCTTGGACAAGATTTTCGCGACCCGCCCTATTTCAAAATGAATTCCGAACATTTTGTCGAACGAGCGACGTTTGCCCCATTTGAACATCTTTGGGAAGAGTTTGCGGAAGATTTTCTTCCAAAACAAGTGAAACAAAAATGTTGTTTCGCAAATGTTGAGATGTTAACATGTTTGCAAAGATTTGGAGACCATAAATATGGGTTCACAACAAAGTATTTGTTACTATAGGCGCAGTCCACCCATTTTTCGTGGTGAGACGTGTACGCACTCTTCAGGGCCTGTCCTAACGTGAAAAAATTGCCCCTAAATTGAGGTCCTGTAGTAAGTAAGTTTCGGGGAGGTGCCGGGGGCCAAAGACGCTGATTGGTTAACAGGAAAAAATACGATGGGCCTTTCTCTGCCCGGGAAGGTGGGACTTCGATATTGGGTGCAGCAAAAAGCAGTTGCAAATCGAAATGTTTTTTGCTGAATCGAAGTACCAGGCGAGTTGCACTGCGCCCCTTTGGCACCCTCCGTGATGAGCTGCACTCGTGCTGGCGTTACCCCTGACGAGACTGCATCGTGCGGCACCCACACGCATCGCCCACTGCGCACTTCCGAGAAATAGCTGTATCGCAATGATTCTGTGAGCGTGCCAACTTTTCGCGCTGGTTGCGTCGCCGTGGAAGTTGCTCTCCAATATGTATGTGCGATGTCAAAAGTCAACGGCCGGTTGCGTGCAGCGAGACAGTCCAAACAACAGCTTATAGAGCAAGCCTAAGGATGAGGCTTGGACCGCTGGCACCGCCTGCTGATGCTTCGCTTCGTTTGTGTGCTGAAATATTTTACAGCTACCGTATGGTGCACATGGTCTATCGCTCTACCTGGTTGGGTCACCACGTCACCTCGCGGCAGCGATTCCGCCGCCTTTGGGTGTTGCTGAACTTCCATGTGGCAAAATTGCGCTATAACGACGCATGCCCTTTTTGGCCAATATCCCAAATAGGCCCGTCCAAGTATTCGGGTCCTCAATTTAGGTGCAACTTTTAACCTCAAGACAGGCCGTCGGTGTATGTAGAAGACCACACTTTTCAGTGTATTTTGTCGCACGACTACAACCAGCTAGGGTCACACAGACAGGAGGGGGTAAACACCAGGCAGGGCTCTTTTCTTCTTTAAAATTTTAACTAATTTTCGTTCCCCACCTTCCTCCTGCGGTGCGCGCTGAACTTTATTTTGACAGTCGTCCCCGCTCACTACGTGCTTTTTTTGTTGAGTGTCTTTTACGCGGGGAATGTCTCGAAGATTCCGGGGCCACTAGATAACTCACCGTCCCCGGGGCCAATCAATGTAGGGGTAACATACGTCAAAAGACGCGCTTTCGCAGTAGGAATGCGACCATGAAACGGCCCTGTTGGAAACCTACGACAAAACGTGATCTGAAGGCCGCAGCTACTGCTGTTGTACTCCAACACTGCTGTACATAGTTTGAGTTTCCTCCTACCACCAAAACCGTGAAGGGGTGCGCTGGTATTGTTACCGGCTTTGATGATTGCTGAGGCGTTGTCCTCACGGTGAACATCTTGCCCGAGATCTCGCTACCGCACCTACCTGAGAAACATCAGCTGTTGGAACTAACTCTGAAACGATACAGGCAGGCTACCTGCCACATGGGGACCAAACAAAACAACCCACACTTTAGAACGACACTCAAGAGGAAAATGTCGGTAATAACGTAGGCAACACCAGACAAGAAATCGGGAAAGTACACCGAAAGCGACGACAACGTTCCTCCCCAAAGGTAAAAAGGAGGCAATACACAAAACAAATTATGCCACGTCTAACTTCACGAGACGTGACCCAAGGCAAACGAATAACACCAAACAACGAACGTGGACATCCATAGTGTAGTTGTCCTCGAAAAACGAAAGCTACGCCGCCCACATATCCCGAAGAGTCGCCTACGCCTTGCCCCCCTCCGTCGCTCTTCGCTTGACTTGAGTTTCATGAGTGAACGAATGCACGAACCCCCCATGGTATTTCCACATCTGCGGGGCACCATATTTCTGGATTTTTTATGTCCTTTAAGCGAGGAGTTTCCTCAAGAAGAGTGTCTTAAAGCGGGGACGACTGTGTCGCGAGAAGGGTCCAGCCATCCCTTTCCCTCGTCAACGGTGCTTACGACGAAGTTTGGTACTCACGAGAGC